AAATAACAAATAAATTCTCAATTTCACTTGAAGTTTTAGAATTTCTTTTGCAATAACATTCCATTATTCTGCGTCTAAACTTTGATTTCAGGTACAAAGGTTTGAATTATAGATTATCAAGAACTGTGTAAACGTATGCCGTTAGATATTGCAATATTATTATGAGAGCGGTATTTATATCGCTGAATAATTTATACGTTTTAATCAAAAATAATGATGTACTCATACCATTTATTTAAAATTAAATCGGAAAAATTTTAATTTTGCATTCTAGTTCTTAAACAAATAGAAAATCGTTTAAATTTAGAAGTGAAAAACTGTAATCATTTAAAATGATTCAGTATTTGATACAGCAGCACTGCAACAAATCTGTGTTTAACTAGCTTTTGAATCTCAAGATGGTAATATTGCTGAATTTTTATAATCAAAATGTGCGCTATGTCATTCTAAAATGCTGCAAAAAGTTTGAATGCATTTTGGCATGAAAAATTCGCAACATTTCTTTTACATATTTTAAAAATTAATTTTAATTTTCAGTTTTAAAAGGGAAACTTTACAATGTTATGTAGAAAATTTTTCTTGTGACTTGAAATGCGGGAATGCTGCGAAAACATTGTATGGTCCATTTCCTGCAAAATTTAAGCTTGAAAAAGTATTAAAGAAATTGAAATATCTATGATCCTGCAAAATCGTAAAGAATAATTATAAAAGCTTGAATACTAGGTCATTTCGTCTTTACTGTAGTCTTTTCTCAAATGCAGTTAATACTATGTGTCAGATCTTGGTGGAATGGCGAAGTTCTAAGCTTTGCTGCAATGCTGCGGTATCAAATACTGAATAAGTTTAAATTGTTATAGGTTTTCACTTTTAAATTTAAAGACTTTTTTATTTGTTTAAGAACTGGAATGAAGAATTAAAATTTTTCCGATTTAATTTTAAATAAATGGTATCAGTACATTATTATTTTCGATTAAAACATATAAATTATTCAGCTATATAACTACTGCTCTCATAATAATACTTTTAAATAAAGCATTTAAACATGGCTCTTGATAAATCCATTTTTAAATACTTTATTTGATATTTAAATATTTAATGGACCTATTAGGTACATCCATAATAAAGTGACCACCGCTTCTGGTCTTAGTAGTGACCAGCGTCTATGATGATGACTTGTGTCCGCCATTGAGAAAAATATTTAATATTCAACACAAAATAATTTTGAAGGGCATATAATTTTGAAGTACTACACTCGGGTATTAAGCCCTTCAAAGCTACCACATCTATCCCGTCTAATTCCAGATTCATATACTTTTGTCTTGCTTTCTGGCTTCTCGCGTTCTGCCCCCTGTCCTCCGTTAGGATTGAGAAAGAAACTGATTCGCTGACGACGGGAAAATACTATGTGAGAGTATGTATATAACTGCATTGCTTTCGTAGTGAAAATGTACAATGAAAAGGCGTTCCGCAAACTCGAAATTTCAGTATTATGTTTTTTCCTGCGTATTTTAATACAAGCTGTTAGTTTATCCGTGTAATGGAAGAAAATGTTAAAGAATGCGAAGTACTAACTCTAATTCTCACTCATAAATTGTACTTGGTCGTAAAGAGTAGTTCTAAAATTTATAAACACGACGCATTTGGGTAGATTTCCTTTATTTTCATGAACAGCGGGGTAGATGAACTAACACACGTTGTTATGTAAATAAAATACATTCTGTATCCGTTTCCAGATAGAACAGTTTTATATATATAGATAGATAACAGGATACAGGTCTCTCTCACTTTGCCAATAATGTGTGTGCGTTTTCAAATGATCCCTTCAGAGCAAAATGGCTTGAGAAATTATCAGAATTCATTGGATGCTCTTTCAGATACCAGACGTACATATTATGTTGGAACTGTAAAATAAAAACCAACGACAGCTAGTGAATTTGCTGGTGGAACTTGTCTTTCATTTAGTTACAGGTTAGTTACAGTTTAGGCGATAGTTTAGAATCCCTAAAACGCTTCAGCTGTAAACAAAACCTACCCGCATTACTATTGGTTTTCTTATAGTTTTATGTACCATTCTTTCGCAGTCTCTTCCGTATACCTTGTAGTGTCTGGAAGGTATACACAAGAGAATTTACTTACAAAAACTACACTGGGCACCACAAACACTTTTCAAAACGAGGACAGCATACAGGTTGGATATTCATCGCGCCGTTAATAAAAGTCATATTGAAATGTATTAAACACATAGACAAACTTTTTGAGATTTTGTATCTAACATATCATTTCCTGACAACTTTTACTGTAAACTCTCACCATTTTGCAAATACAGAGAACGCTGAAAAACGTTAGTGGCAACAGAGTAACAACAAATATGCACTTCAAACATTAGGTTTTGATCTAGAAAACAATCTACAGTTATGATTCTCTACGTAATATAGGTTAGAAAATTGTTATTTTAACTAAACTTGTACTTTCATTACACTATTCTAATAATCTGAAGTTTTAATAAAATTTAATTCACAGAAGTTTCCCATCATTATCTATATTCTGTCATTGTGCATAGATTTCGTTATTTTGTATATAATGTAGTGGGGTAAATTTTTCAAGAAAATTTGTCTTGCTAACAACAATGGGCACTATAAATACTTTCCAGTATGTGGGCAGAACATTGGTTTGTATTTAAAGTACCATTCATAAAAATGATGATGAAAGTCCCTGGACATAGACTCAAACTTAATTTTTGCACATGAAAAAATACATGCCATGTACATATAGTTGGCTTGTCTGGTTTATATGATTATGGCAAAGCACGTGAGGGCTATCTGCCTTCCGCATATATAATAAAGTGTAATAGTTCAGAAATACTTGAAAACTTCTTTCATCAAGTTTCTAAGTGGGATACTAGCTGTATGAGCGCATTTTTATAACACAATAATTTAAATACTATTATCAGCAACAGTATGTAAAATGGGAAATAAATAAATAAATAAAAATAAATGAAGTAAAAGTGTTTAGTAACTGATAAGCGAACAAAAATGCATGTTTAAATTACAACAGATTTGATTATAATGTCATTTTATACCTGTAGATAAATGTATTTAATTTAAATAGCGTATATAGATGATGTTACAATGCGAAAGGAAAACATAAAAGAAAAATTATCTATAATTTAAACATCAATAAGAATTATATTAAAAACTTCACATTTTTATAACAGTGTAATCAAAGTAAAAGTTAAATTAAATTTAAAATCAAGGCAAAAATTAAACGAAATTTCGAACATCGGTTATTATGCAAGGTACCACAATGAAGTTCGGCGAAAGTCGTCAGTCTTAAAATGCATGCGAGAGTTCGGGGACGAACGACAAATTACGGGAAAGATATTTACGCGTGGCGTAGGAATAGTTATTACGCGTGGCGTAGGAATAGTTATTACGGATTGCTATTAATACACTCTAAAGTGCAAAGATCTAGCAGTTACTGTAAAATGGAGCAGCGAATGAATTTAATTCTCCATTTAAAAGCTTAAGAGCTTACGAAAGATATTTATGACATGGTGAAGCTAACGGAGATGAAGCCATATCTTTAAAGTGCACTTATAAATCGTGTGAACGTTTCTCGGATGGATGGGATTCCACCGTAAACGCTGCTCAAAGTTTTATACCATGCGACTTTTGTTAGTGAAGATAAAAATCGAAGAACTGAACATTTTAGTCAGAAAGAGCGGCATTAAATATTCCAGAATATTCTTACAAATTTATTAGAAAGGATCCGCCGTGAATGTCCAGAATACACTGAGGTGTGATGTTGGTTCCATCTCCATGATAACTCCCAATCACATTCGGACTTCGTCGTGAAACCGCTTATGGTCAGTGGATAAGTTTTAGTCCTCAATCATCCACTATATTTATCTGAATGTGCTCCAACAAACTTCTTTCTGTGCTCTGGCTATCCTGCACCTGAGACAGTCTGAAAGAAGAACGATTTTCGGATATTCCAGTCATTTAAGATCATGTAAATAGTGTTCTTCATGCGATATAGAAAGAAGACTTTGTCTGCAGCTTTCAGGAACTGAACAGTCGCTGTTCACAAAAGTGCATTGCAAACGATGAACATTCCTTGGAAGGAATACAAAACGAAACGTTTTTTTCTGCTTTGATAAGAATCTTTCGTTTATAAATATATCCACCGAACTTTGTCCTACCTTGTATATTAAACGTCAAATCATAATTGTAGTATGCTTTTACATACATTAGGTATTTTTGGAAGCAGGAATGATGAAAAAGGAGCAACGCCTTCGCCAGGAATTGAACCACGGACCTCTGGAATACACTCCCAGCATGCAGACCATTACACCACGAAGGCACACTAAGAATTCGGGAGAAATACCTTCCATACCCTCCCTTTTAAAGAGCGGCTGGGGTTTTAGGGGACCCAATCTCCAAATCCTGGATGTGGAGAATCATCATCCACCACCCTTTTAGTTCGGGCGCCACTGTAGAGACATTAGGTATTTTTCGGAAGCAGAAGTGATGAAAACTGAGCAACGCCCTCGCCGGGAATCGAACCACGGACCTCTGGAATACGCGCCCAGCGTGCAGACCATCACATTACAAAGGCACGCCAGGAAGGCGGGAGAAATATACCATACATGCTTTCGAAATCAAAAACTAATGCCTGAATGCATATTTGTTATTAATTTTAAGCCATTTTTGACTAAACTCTTTCAGTGTTTTCTAAGATTGAAAAATTGAGAGTTCAGAATAAAAGCACTCCGAAGATGATGCGCTTTGTGTCATTATAATGACACTGGCAATTGTGAGCGAGATCATTTTAAAATGAGGAAATCTGATAACTTTGTATTTTTTCTGCTAATTTATAGTTCTTTCTATTAGTTTTATAGTACTGATAATTTTGTATTTCTCAAGCAGTAATAGTGTTTCGATAATGTATGAATGATGGCAGGTTTTTTCTAATATTTTTCTATTTTATTCTTTTAATAGAAACCCCAGTACCGAGGATCTTCAGGAAAGCTGGCCTGAATATACAATTGAAAAGCGCCAAATTTTAAAAATAGGACAAGAAAGTGTTGTGGAACAAAGCCCGCTTGATAAATCCGTGGAGTTTTGGCATGGTATCATGCCAGCTGCTCAAAAAAGAAGCTGCGCGGCTCCGGCAATGGCTGCCTTCCTCGCCTCAGATGATCAAGAACATCTCTCCCGTAAAGTCGGCTTCCTAGGTTCTTACATCAGCGTACCCACAGCTGAGTACTTAATGGTGGCATTAGGTCTCGGTACAATAGTCCTATTAATACTAATGTCATTATCTCTGGCGTTGATGGTAAAAGTAAGAGCACTAATGGAACTACAAGAACATAGAGAACAAAAAGCACCATTTCTGGATGCATAATGGATTACATGACTTTTAAAAGTGAAATAACAAAAAACTTTGCATGCTGTATTTTTTTTTTTTTTTTTTACCTTTAAACTAATAATTTGCTTAAACTAAAAGTCATTTGATAAACTATAACGCACAAATTTTTCAAAGAAGAGGTTAAGGTCTAAAAATAAGATTGGTAAATTTTATTTTAATTTTGATTAAACATGCTACAGACAACTAAGAATACATTCAATAATTTTTGGAAAACAGTAATAGATGGCAGAGAAAATTTCACGAAATTATTTTAATACTATTTGCGACTGTTAAGATATTATAAGAAACAACGTAACAGCTCTAACGATGTATCAAGAAGACAGGGATCCGATCTAGTTTGTACGCTGTTAAGACCATTGTGGTATAGGTAAATTTGAAAATTTGCATGCAGCATTTGTACTGAATTCAAATGACGTATAAATTTTGCATGCAGATTAGAAATTTTCATATTTATTTTAATGCAATTAGAAGAAGGTTTAATAACTTTTCTATGTACTCTTCTAAGCTGTACCTCAAAATTAGAAGTTTGATGCAAATACAGCTATAAAATGTCTTAGAAATTCTATCCACACATAATTTTGAAAGGTTTCATGAATTTATATACTTATGTTTTTTTTAAATGATCGGTAGGTTAAATACATGAAATCTCAGTTTTATGAGAAATGCATACTTAAATACTGTGCACTTCTGTAATATTCTACGTACTGCCTCGTACTATACACTGCCACTCAGAATGCTATACACTGCCACATGGAAACCAGCCATGCGAAAAAGATAGAAAAAAACAAAAAAAAAAAGGAGGGTTGAATCCCTGTGCCTGTTTTTTTAATCAGTGAACAGTTAAGTTCCATGCCAATATTTTCTCAGGAAACCATTTGAACACGCACAAACTTTTTTCATACAGAAATATATTCGAAGCACAGATTTTTTTACATTTATTTACACCTATGCTATATATTTAAGCATATAAAAAATAGTAAATAAAGAAATATTTCTTTTACCTTAAAATACTCATAAGATCATACTTGCATTTTCACAGTTCCGAATCCTGAAGATTTCATTTCACACCAGATAAGTAGTGGTGTTTTCATTTTTGTTTTGTTTTGTCTTTTTATGAACCACTTGGAAGTTTTTCTTTAGCTAACTTATTACTGGATGCCCTTTATTGTAAAGCATTATTTTGAAAAGTTTTTATAAATATACTAATGATGGAAATGTTACAGCTTCATAAAATGCTAAAAGATTTCGCTATGGTATATAATGCCTGAAGCCAACATTTAATATCTCCATTTAGTTTCCATGCAACCTCCAAGTTTCTAATCTCATACAAACGGTGAAGATTTCAATGCATGAAATATTAGTTAATTAGATGTGAGAATAAAATTTGCAGTATTTCATTACAACTGAGTTTACGGCTGTTGTACGTTTTCAGAAATATTTTTGAACAAAACCTGAGGAAAGCACAAATTCCTCAAATTTAAAATTTTCAAGTTTCTAAAAAAACAAATTAATAGCTCATAGAAAAGAAAACCGAGGGAGGCAAAACTTCTTCAATTTAAAATTTTCGAATTCATTAAAAATGAAAATAAATTAACAGGTAGTAAAAGAGAGATAATGAGAAACCTTTAAAAACACATTCAGTAGAACCAGAAGAAAACAAAATATCTGTTCTAAAATAAGAAACAGTTAACTAAAGAGATAAAATTTATTGCAAATATAAGATGTTTATCCTTTTTAATAAGATTATTAGATATGAAACTCAGTAAAGAAATATTGAAGATATTATAGCTTAAATATGTTAGAGCGAAAGAAAATTTTAAAATGTAAACATTTTTACAATTGTATACCATGAGAAAACTGCACATTCGTTATCCTTAGTGTGCTATACAACATTTTTATGGCATTTGTACTTGCATATAGCTGATTTTTCATTTCATGTGCATGTTATATGTTCTTAATATTTTTATCAAATAAACTCATTTTTTAGCTTGCTGTAATTATTGACTTCTTATTCTTTATCATCAGATAGAGGTAAAAACACATTAAATCATTTCTTTTAAATATAGGTAAGTGCTCCTCAGCTTACTACAGGCACATGTCCTGATAAACCACAACACAAGGATACACGTTAGCAAAAAATGCATATGATATACTTTACTTACATTATGTCATAGATAATCATTGTAATAAAGTTCAGAACATTTTACTCAATTTAATAAATAATAAACGTACAATGATTGATTGACTGCATACATTGATAGTGACACAAGGATATTCACCATTAATGTAAGCAGCTGAAATCACGCTAGTCTTAAAGAATGTCTAAAGCACTGACCTTAAATTCGCAGTATTTCGTGTTAAGTATCCCAGTAATATTATTATTTTTCCTGTCTTTTACTTCTACTCTAGTCAACTCCCACCAAGACAGAAATTAGTTAATATATATAAGCGCAGAGTTTTTAAATTCAGAAAAGAGCCTTTGGTTTTGTTAGATCTCGATGCTACAAAATTGCTGATTTGACTTAGCTTCGTTATCCGCATTTGCTTCATGAAAATATTGAGGACCGATCCAAAGCTTAGTAGAAGCTTATTACTTTATATTCTACGTTTAAATTTGACTTGAACATGCAAGTTGCGGAGATTGTGCTTTGTCAAATTAGGTTTTATGTAACCGTCAGGCTAACGCGTTAATAAAAGTTTGTTTTCAACCTTCATCTGAATTTTTATTTACTGTTCTTTAGAAATAATATGGACTGATACGTCCTCTATCTATCATTACGGTTCTAAGAGTTTACAGTTAAAATAATTTGGAACCGAATGAATTAATTGCTAGGTTGTGAAAATGCTACAGTAAACATGTCTATAGTTGCAGTCCCTTCTGTCGAAACTTGATTAAAGCAAACTGGGCCTAAATAATGTTAAAGATACAAAAGTTTAAGAATTCTGCTAATTTAAGTTCAAACTAATTGCTAGATTACGAGAATGTTACAATAAACGATCTCGTAGCTGTCCTCTTGTCGCTTGATGCTTGACAACAGCTAGTAAAATGCGCTGGAATATCGATGCTTGTTAATTTTTCACAACCACAGTTTTCTTCAGGACGATATCATGTTTAAACTGTACAATTTGCTTCTCATCTTCATTTTACATTTCTGTTTAGCAAGTAGAAACATCCTGTAGCTGGGTAACAGAGCCCTTGCTCGTATGTGCTATACACAAGCATACGAGGAAGAGCGCTGGAAAACAGCTACAAGATACCATACCTAGCATATTCTGCTAGTCGAAAAATGATCAAGACTGATAATAACATGCACTGATGTAAGGTATATGGGTATCCCTTGCATGTGTCCTTGTCATGCCATGATCAGCACATTCAGCTAGCCGACTGGTAGATATTGATCTTGATTCCTCTAGAAAATTTTTCAGAAATTATTTCTATTCTTTAAGAACAGAAACGAAAGATGAGTCTACAGTCTGCGTTGTTTCTTCTCAATGCGTAGTATTTCACACCATCTCAGAACTGAAAATTCCTAAGTAGATATTCAATACAATCCTGTACAGAAGCTCTTTTCTCTTTTAACCTAATGAGAAAAATCTGTCAGACGCATCATCATTAACTGTTCAACAAAATTTCTGCTGATGAACAATCGCTTTCAGCTTTGTACATCATTCCATTTAAAAGAATAAATCTCGTAAAACACTCTCTTTAAGTAATTAAGACACAATAACACGCCGAATAAATACTAATTCAGAAGTCAAACAACAAAAATCAGCGTTAATTTACAAAATTTTTTCACAGGACTAGTTTCGATGGTTTTACCGAACCATCATCTTCAGCTGCAAAACCGCAAATGAACAAGATAGGAAATGATAGGAAATCATCAAAAGAACTTGACAAAAGTTTTAATTCCATTTTTATTTGCAATTGATATTTGTGGCCACAATCATTTCGCACTTTAGTCGTGCCTTTCCACAGAAAATTTACATTTTTGATATTGTTGAGATAGAAAGCAAGCCATCGAAATTACATCTTAGCACATTAGAGAGCAAAGCTGAAGTGCGTAGTTATGCAAGATGGAAGCACGCGAAGAGAAAAGTTTTGGTTTGCAATTTGGTGATTGTGAAGAGGCATCTGCATTAAAGGTTACGTAAGATCGCATGGTTAATTTGAATGACGCAGTTTAGACTTAAACGCTATTTTTTAGGACAGATAGAGGAAGTTTCCAAATGAAATAGAAAATAAAAGAGGTTATAGTGAATTTAGAAATATATTTTATCTTTACATGTATATATGCATATTTTTCTTTCTTTTCAAAATGGTCGAACAACTTGCATTGTACATGGAAGCCTCTGTGCCTCAAGTGAAAAAATATATAGGCAAGGCTTTGTTATACCATACTCGCCCCGGTGCTTTAACTGCCAACGGTTTGAGCATACAAACTTCAAATTTATGCTTATGGAATTACCGCGAACTTCATGTCGCGGTAATTCCATAAGCACAAACTACTCGATGTTTGGTCACGACTCTGACAACTGAAATACTACCGCTTTATTTATTGTCTGTAAAGAACAACATTCAGCCTACGCACAGTTTTCTTCTGTCTAGAAGAAAAAAAAAAGTACTGTACATTAAAGGTTCCGTAAAGCATAACTTATCCTGAGACACGTAAAACTTGTTTTTTCCTCCCAGCCAGTTACTAATAAGACTTATTTTTCTGCAGTTTAATCAATAGAGTCAATAGAGACTCAGACACTGTTAAGTATGAAATCAAAAATCAATATTTATCCTGACATAGATTTTTTTCCAAGTACCCCAGCCCCTTCAATTTTTTAAAAAAAAAGGTGGACTCATAAAAAAATACAAAACAAAAAATAATAATAAAGGGTGCAAACTGCAAGTACTAAACTAAAATAAAAAAAAGTTGTAAATTCTCCCAGAACACAAAATCTGAGTGCCTTCTAGATCAGCGGTCGCCAACCGGTGGTCCGTGAAAACGTTTTAATGGTCCGCAGAAAAATTGGAATATTATTTACATTTTTATGAAGATTCAATTTAAAAAATGTCAAGTAACAAAACTTATTATGGAATATGGATTATACTTTTCCCCTAAATTTTAGCGAAATTCCTTCTGAACTTAGCGACTTTTTAGCTAATTTTGCAGGTGTATCTAGCGACATTTGAAAGGGAGAGTTGATATCCATGGATATGCCGCTGTTATCAATAATAGCGCAAACTGGAATTCTCTTTCCTTTTGAATTACAAACATATGCTATTGTAGTCGTTAATAACACAGTTTTTCTCCGTGTCAATAGGCAACTTGATGGATTTTTATGAGAACCATCTGCATTCTTGTTTATAATTGCATCACTGGAACTTTCCGTTTTTGTTTTGTCTAACTGTTGATCGATGGCGCCATTGCTGAGTAAGCGATGGTTATTTTGCTTCCAATAATTACAAATTGACGGCGTAACACTTTCAGTTTATTGCTATTGCTTTGCGTTTGCCAGTTTGTTCTTGCTTTTCCTGAAGTTCCTTTTCAGTTATATAGAAATGTTAAGCTTTCTGTACAAGAAGGTAAGATTTTTGTACTCTTCATATAATTTTTCGATATGAACGAAATATGTGTATCAGTGAGATGTTAATAGTGTTTTAATTGTTACTCATAATCAGGGGCGTAGCCTGAATTTCCTTAAAGGCATACTGCTGAACACCAATTTTTTTCGAAAATTATATTAACAAATGAAAATTAGAATTATATGTATTGGAAGGTTGAATATTATTTTTGCGTATTAATATGTTGTTTTTAAGGTCTGATTTAAAGGGTTTTTAAATTCATATTAGTGGTCCGCCAAATATAAAATTATATATGTAGTGGTCCGTGAAGTTCTAAGGGTTGACGACCGCTGTTCTAGGTCATGAGTTTAGAAAATATATCTTCTGAGATGTACATAAAAGAAGGATTAAATACCCCAAAGCATCTCATTCCACGCAAAACCAAGAAAGAATACCAAAAAGCAAACATCATACATAATGGCTACCTTCATTTCATAGAATTATAGCGACCTCCACCAAAATCTCGTTTATACTAAAGAGCTGTTGATACTCATCATCCTGTGTGCATAGCAGTGCAGAAAACTAACCCGAAAGCTGAACAACAAGCAAAACTTCGGACCAGGAAAGATAATTAGGTAAGTCAGCGTGTCAGTGAAGGTGTAGTCAATGAAGGTGAACCTCATGTTACTCTCCGTCAAAAGCATTTCACTTGATGACTTCATTCCAAGTTGTTGCCATCCAAATGATTTTAGGAGCATTAATGTTCTGCTTATTTGCCTCTGAATGACCATGCTGATCAACGAAATTTAGATTTTGTTCACTGAGCAGCTGCTTGAACCTTTTATCATAACAGGGGACTTAACCATATTCTGCTCTAGGAAAGTAAGGATACTAACCCTCGAGGAAGACAAATTGAGCTAATGATTAAAGAGCCATTTTTTATAATCAGGGGCCGTTTGGAGAAAATTTTTTTTCTATGGCTGTACTAAGCAGCTGTATGGAATGAACTTTTTGGGGTGAAATTCTATCATTTCTGTTCAAATACATTTTTGACTAATTTCTTTTCTGTTTCCTTTACTAAAAATTTTATATATTTTTCCTGGGTAAATAAGGTGCATTTTTTGTTATTTGTGTATGTACAGCACAATATATAACATCACTGCCCGGTTAAATAATAATTTTGATTTAAATTAACATTGTTGAATACGTTTCCAGAATTTGATTGGTTTGCGAAAGTAAATTTCAATTTAAAAGATGCATAATCTAATACCTTAGTCATATGCTAGTTATTTATATTATTACTCCATTTGTAGTAAACACCTGCCCCGTCCGTGAAATACTATTATAAAATTTCTCATTCTCAACAGTGAAAGTTTAGTTTAAATCCCAGCCCGTAAATTGTCATTATTTTATCCGCGATTTACTGCGAATTTTGCCTCCCTC